GAGGAGAGACCCATCGTTGCATCTGGATGTCAGCTTGCAAGCTTTTAAGATCACAGTTGCTACTTGCCACAGTAGGAGGTGGAACAATATTTTGTATAGTATGTTATGCCAATTGAGCTTGATGTCCTCTGCGACTATTATCCCGAGCCCACAGGTTCAACTACTCGGTCCCTCTAGGTAGCTGGCTGTGACCAAGCAGTGACTACAACCTTGCCCCTTGTTAGCCCGATTATACACCTGGGAATGCAGATCATACACATAAAGTTATTGGACCACTTTCTGCCATCTTTGTTGTCTGTACTTCCCACGTACCTCTCTATGTCTTTCTCGTCCTCAGTGCCACTATATTAATCACTCACATTTGGTACATTGCCCTTTTCTTTGCCCAAATCAAAACTTATCTCTATCTATCTAACAATATTCCCTCCCCTCGCCTCCTACCCCTGGTAACCAACAAAGAAAATGACCTTCTATAGATAAACGTTTCCCTGACTTTTACAATAATGGACTAATACAATATTTGTCCTTCTGTGATTGACTTATTTCACTCAGCATAATGTCCTCCAAGTTCATCCACATTATCCGGTGTTTCGCAGATTCTACATTATTCTTTAGCATTGCATAGTATTCCATTGTGTGTATATACCATAGTTTGGATATCCATTCCTCAGTTGATGGACACCTAGGTTGTTTCCATCTTTTGGCTATTGTAAATAATTCTGCGATGAACATGGGTGTGCATATGTCTGTTCTTGTCATGGCTCTCACTTCTTTAGGGTATATACCTAGTAATGGAATAGCAGGGTCAAATGGTATTTCTAATTCCAACTTTTGAAGGAATCGCCATACCGTTTTCCACAATTGTTGTGCCATTTTACAGTCCCACCAGCAGTGTGTGAGAATCCCAATCTCTCCACATCCTTGCCAGCATTTGTTATTTTCTGTCTCATTGAACTTTGCTACTACTGCTGGAGCAAGATGGTATCTCATTGTTGTTTTGATTTGCATCTCTCTAATAGAAGTGATTTTTTTGTTTGCTTCAATGTTTCAAACCTTTCTTTTATTTCAAAATATTTTAGTACAGACATATGAAAGTGCATAAAATGAATAGATTAATGAATCATTATAAAGCAAATACTTTGGTAACCATCACCCAGATCAAAAAATAGAAACTGTCAGCAGCTCCAAAGCCCTCCTGGGTGTCTCTTCTCAATCACAACTCCCACCCTGCTACAGGCAACCACAATCTTTGCCTTTTCTTTTAGTTTTATCACCTAAATATAAATTCCTAAATTATCAAGGTGAGTTTTGTTTTGTCTGAACAGAATGTTAAGTGATAATCATTCAGTATGTGTTCTCTTATCTGGATTATTTTGCTCAACATCGTGTTTTTGAGATTCATCCGTGTCGTGTATTTTTTCATTTTTATTGCTTTACAGTATTCCACCATGTGACTAAATCACAACTTATTTACCCATGCTATGGTTATACCTATTCAGAGTTTTTCAGTTTGAGTCTGTTGCCAATAATGTCGTTACAAACACTTGTGCATGAATCTTGGTGTACAGAAATAATTACTTTCGGTTTGATCATCAAGGGTCTGCATGGTGCAGATGGGTAAGTGCTCGACTACCAGATGAAAAGTTGGTGGTTTGAACCCCCCGAAAGGTTCAATTTGCTTCCAAAAGGTCACAGCCTTGACAACCTTATGGAACACACATGAGATAGCCATGAGTCAGAATTGAATTGACCACAACAGCAGTAAACTTCATCACAGAATATATTTATTCTTCAACTTTACTAAATAGTGACAATCTGTGTTTCAAAGCAGATGTACCCATTCAAACTCCTACCAGAATTTGGAGAGTTCCTGTACTAAGCCCACATTTTCACCAACACTTGGTATTGGCAGGCTTTTTAATGTTTGCCACTCTTGGGGGCATGTAATAGTATCTCAGTTTAATTTGCATTTCTCTGTTACTAATGCAGTTGAGCAATTTTTCATGTACTTATCAGAGAAGCAGTTTTCATCTTTTAGGGGATTTCTGTTTAACTCTTTTACCTATGTTATTTGGGGTTGTCTTTTTCTTGATTTGTAATTCTTAATACAT